GAAATGGAGGAGAAATGGAGGAGATGGAGGAGAGATGGAGGAGAGAGGGAGGAGATATGGAGGAGAAATGGAGGAGAGATGGAGGAGAAATGGAGGAGAGACGGGTGTAGTAGTAGGAAAGATGGAGGAGAAATAGACGAGAGATGGAGGAGAGATGGAGGAGAGATGAAGGAGAGATGGAGGAGAGATGGACGGGAGATGGGTCTAATAGTAGGGGGAGGAGGGAGAGAGAGAGAGAGAGAGAGAGAGAGAGAGAGAAAGAGAGAGAGAGTACTTGGATCGATTAGTTGAGCAACGCACCGGGCAACAGGATGAGCAAAATCGATCGAATCTTCTGCTACAACATCGAAATATTCACTGTTAGACGTATGTGTGTGTGTGTGTGTGTGTGTGTGTGAGAGAGAGAGAGAGTACGGCAACAGGTTAGTCTCCAAGGCCGCGGCTGGCTTCGCGCAACTCCATCGAAAGGATGAGCAAAATCGATCGAATCTCCCGCTACAACGTCGAAATATTCACTGCTACACGTATGTGTGTTGTGTGTGTGTGTGTGTGTGTGTGTGTGATAGAGAGAGAGAGAGAGAGAGAGAGAGAGAGAGAAAGAAAGAAAGAAAGATTCTGTCGGCCCACCTCGACTCCACATCTGTCCACGACACTTTGCGTCTTGCTCCGTTGGCGGCCTCCGCTCAGCCTCCGGTCGGCCTCTGCTCAGCCTCCGCTCGGCACCCACCTCCGCTCAGCATCCGTTCGGCCTCCGCCGACCTCCTCTCAGCCTCCACCCACTTCTCGTTTTGCCTCCACCCACCTCCGCCTACCGCCGCCCACCTCCCCTCTATCTCCACCCACCTCCCGTCCACCTCCTCCCGCCATCTCCTCTCTTTCCTCCCAGCCTCCGCCGCTTCTCCTCCGACTGCGCCACCTCACGTTCGCCTCCTTACGCCATTCCCTCTCTCTTTCTTCCCGGCCTCTGCCACTTCTCCTCCGCCTCCGCCACTTCTCCTCCGCCTCTACCACCTCCTGTCCGCCTTCTCCCGCCATCTCTTCTCCACCTCTGACACCTCCCGTCCGCCTCCTCTTGCCATCTTCTCTCGCCATATCCTCTCCGCTTCCGCCACCTCCTGCCCACCTCTGCTTGCTACCTCCGCCCACCTCTGGTCGGCCTCCACCCGCTCTCCTCTCCGCCTCCTCCCGCCATCTCCTGTCCGCCTCGGCCACTTCTCCTCTGCCCACTTCCCCTCGGCTGGCAGCCCACCTCCCGTCCACTACCTCCGCCCACCTTTGCTCGGCCTCCACCTGCTCTGCCTGCTCTCCTCCCCACGTGGCAAAGACGATTCCTTGGAGGGAGGGGGGGGGGGGAGGGGGGGAGGGGGGGGGGGGAAGGGGGAGAGAGAGAGAGAGAGAGAGAGAGAGAGAGAGAGAGAGGTGGGGGGTAACTGTTCGTCGGGCCTACACTTGTGCTGTGCACGGGTCCGGTCCGGCGGTCCGGCGCACGTGCGGAACCGCGCCGACAATGTCCGCTTGCAAGTATGCGCCAAACCCTTAGCCTATCCCCTCGCCTTATGGATGTGCACTCACCCTATTGTACTTGTTGAGTCTGAGTCTGTCCGTCTTTTCTTTCTGCATTGAGTCTCTTCTGTCCAAGTGATAGGACTCCGTGTATGAAGGATAGGGCCTCGTTGACCAAACCCACACGGGTTGAATAGGGCTAAAGACTGTGTCTGACGACTCGACTGTCTCGGAGGACACGAACCCTCCCAAGGACCGGTACTGACCGGCGGGCTGCTCGGTGTGGCACGGTAGGCCCAAAATCCGAGCTGTGGGCTGCCCAACCGGCCGTCTAAGTCGTGAGAGGATCTGCTGACCGCGTCGTCCTGTTTGCGACGTTAAAGAATTCCTGAGGAGTTACGAGGGATCTCCTTAAATGCGTCGTGGTCAGCAACAGATCCTGTAGTGACGGCTGTAGTATTAGAGTCCAGGCTAGAGACCATAGTTGACAGGGTTTTATACGGATCCTGTGGTCCATAGATTGAGTCAATCTTAGGTAAGTCGGTTAGGGGGAACGTCTAAGTGGTGAGGAGTGGAACCGTCACTGGGTTGTGCGTCTGTCACCATGGTAGACACGTGTACACCCCTATACCGCAGAGCAGAATGCGAAAACCGCCACCATCCTGAAAGAGAGAAGAGAGAAGGAGGCCAAGAAGAAGGCCCTGATAGAGGAACATGCGGCCAAATTGAAGAAGATTGAGGAGGAGATGGCTAGAGAGAGAGAGAGGCTGAGGAACGACCAAGAAGAGAAGTTGAATGCGGTAGAAGAGGAGGAAGATCTGTGAGAAGAAGAGGAGGCACTAATGTATGTGCCCAGGGAAGAACAAGAGGCGGCCATGAGAGAGTGGGATGCAGAAGATCATCCACTCAAGTGGCAAGCTATAGAGGATGAGAAGAGGATGGAGTGGAAGTTCCGATTGACGAGGGAGAGGAAAAGGAGAATGGAGGCGGCAAGCCAGGCGGCGAAAGAATTGGAGGAGGTAAAGAAACAAAGAGAGTAGATGGCGATGCAAGTAGACCTACTGGGGAAGATGGAGATTATGGCGAGAAATATAGAGTGTCTGGCCCATGACCAGGAAGAACAATATCTGTTTGGTAGAGGTCAGGACATTGCCTTATGCTCTATACGGCTGGGGCTCAGGGACTTGCAAGGGAATTGGCGACGCAGGTGGGCTCAGAGGTGAGGGCCCGCCTAGAGGGCACGGAGCGTTATTGCACGGGTGCCATTGAAGGCGCCAAACTAACTGCTCGGAAGGAGGGGGAAGCACGTACCCGAAGGGAGCCTGTCAAGGTCAAGTTCCCGGATTCCTACAGTGGGAAAAATGAGGAAAATTTTGATAATTGGGAAGCCAATTTCAAAACATACGTGCACCTACAGAAGGTCTCCCCGGATGAGCATGTCTTGATAGTCGTCCATGCCCTTCGGGACAAAGCGGCAAGCTTCGCCCCCTCTGCCATGCCGCCAACTGCAACGATGATCTCGTTGCCTATTCTGCGTTTATGCCCCTCAATGACTTTCTTAAGTTATTAAGGGAGCGGTTTGCAGACGTCTCGCGCAGTGTCAAAGCCTCTGATAGGCTGCAAACCATCCACTCACGCCAGTGGAAGAGTGCTAGGGCACTCAAAGGCATTATGGACGAGTTAGTCGCCGTCTCGGACCATGGGGTCACGGAGACCCAATTGGTCAACCTCTTCTATCGTGCGATGCCCGAGTAGTTACGTGGGCACTTCTTCGAAAAGAGTCAGCAGTCCAACATGACTTATGACGCTTTGAGCAGAGAAGTTGTAGCGTTCGAACCGAGGTCCATGTCAATTTCCAGTTTTTGGCATAAGGACCTAGATAAGGGCAAAAAGTGGAAGGGTCGCACCATCTCAGGACAGGTCAAGACCAAGGATCGCTTGATCCTTACTCTAGACGAGGGTGGTGTCAACGAAGTCCCCTACGAGCAGATTGAGTGGGGGCTGGAGGAGGAGGACAGTACCATTTGTCAGGGGAGGACATACGCTGCTGTCGTGGCTGGAGGGAGGCCGCAAGGAGGAGGTAGAGGCCAGGGCCAAGGGGGCCAGGCCTCAGGTGGCCATACTCAGGGCAATCAGGGGGTTGGTGGAAGAGGAGGAAACCGCCAAGCGGGAGGAGAAGGGGTCAAGGTCCCCCTCAAAACCGTTTTGGGAATAGGTCGCCCAATAGAGGGAATAGATCACCGAATAGGGGAAACAGGGCGCCCTCTTGGAGAGGTGGTTGGCACCGAGGGCTGCCACAGGGCCGGCCTTGGGAAGACTTGGGCCTGGACCAGCGTTTATGGCAACAGCGTGTGGATCAGTGGCAGTGCATATATTGCGGTGACCTTGGCCACATCATCAAATATTGTCCAAAGTATAGAGAGGCCCGTTTGGCTGCCCAGGGGTCAAAAGGCAACCGCCTGTAGGGGTAGCAACTGCTCCTACTCCAAGGCCATGTGGGGAAGCGAGCGCGAGCCGGCAGGAAACTCCCACACCACATGTGCCTATGGCAGAGGTTGCAGGCCGGTGCCTAGATAGTTGTCCAGAGACTGCTTGTGTAAGAGTCTCTCTAGGCACTTCCCTCACAGGCTTGGCCGATGAGTTAAAGGAGAGGATGCCTGTCTAGGCCAAGATGAAGAAGGAAAGTAGAGGACAACTAGTTTTAGTAGATGTAGGGATTTTTAGAGGTAGAGTAGGGGGCTTAGTAGATAGTGGGGCCACGCGCAGCTATATTAGTAGAAAGGCGCTGCATAAGTCGGAGTTGGGGCTAAAAGTCAAGAAGTTAGCAGACCCCATAGTGAGTATCCTCGCAGGCAATCGCACGATGCGAGTAGAGGATTATGTAAAGGGGGTCCAGGCGTACTTTCGCCTAGAGAAAGATGGGAAGATGGAGAAAGTTCTCCATTCCCTGACTCTCCTTGTAGAGGACAGCCTTCCTTCTGACATAGTCCTAGGAGTGGACTGGGGAGAGGCAGCAGGGGCCACACTCCATCTGAGAGAGCATGAGTGTAGGCTCCCTAGCCCGTTAGGTGGGGTCAAGATGGCCCGTCTGTTTCATGTGTCCGGAGTAGACAACTCCTTGGCACAATGCTGCCTTAGCGCTCCTGCGTTCGCGAGGTTAGTGAAGGAGCAGCTAGAAGAACAGGTTTTTGTAGCCTATGTTAGGCCAGTTATTGAGCCTAAAGAGGAAAAGCCCATAGATCCTGCCATTGCCAGGCTGCTGGAAGAATACATCAATGTAGCTAAGTCGCCTATAGGGGTAGTCCCACGGCCCATCCAGCATCGCATTGAGATTGAACATGGCAGCAGGACTCCTAAAGGAGCAGTGTATAGGATGTCCCAGCGGGAATTGGGGGAGTTGCGCAAGCAGTTAGACGAACTCCTAGAGAAAGGTTGGATTAGGCCCAGTTCGTCTCCATTTGGAGCACCTGTTCTATTTGTCCCAAAGGAGGGAAAGCTCAGAATGTGCATTGACTACAGGGGTCTCAATGCTATTACCGTGAAGAACGGGGAACCTCTGCCCCGTATAGATGACCTTTTAGATCGGGTGCAGGGTTGCAAGTACTTTTCGAAGATAGATTTGAAGTCCGGATATCATCAGATAGAGGTCCATCCTGATGATCAGTATAAGACTGCGTTCAGGACTAGATATGGGCACTACGAGTTTATAGTTATGCCCTTTGGACTAACCAACGCGCCGACAACTTTTCAGCATTGTATGAATGACTTGTTTAGGCCGTGGTTGGACAGGTTTGTAGTAGTTTATTTAGACGACATTCTAGTGTTCAGTAGGACCCTCCAGGCGCATGAGGGTCATCTAAGGCAGGTCCTGGAGAAGCTCAGAGAGGCTAACTTCAAGATCAACGCGAAGAAGTGTGAATGGGCAAAGACCGAAGTTCTGTACTTAGGGCATGTCTTAGACGGAGACGACATCAAATCAGAAGATGGTAAAATTGCAGCGATCAGAGATTGGCCTACACCCCGCACGTTGACAGAGTTGTGGTCGTTCCTAGGCCTAGCTAATTATTACAGGAAGTTTGTGAGGAACTTCTCCACCATCACTGCAGGTTGCTGAAGAAAGAAACAATCTGGAAGTGGGATAAGAATTGCACGCCTGCCATGAAGAAGTTGAAGCAGGTGTTGATAGAGTACCCAGTCCTTAAGGTAGTCGATTCGTCCTTACCTTTCGTTGTCACCACTGACGCGAGCCAGTATGGTATAGGTGTTGTATTACAGCAAGACGATGGCAATGGATATAGACCCATAGAGTTCATGTCGGCTAGGATGCCTTCAGAGAAGGTAGCGACATCTACCTACGAGAGGGAACTCTACACTCTTAGGCAAGCATTAGAGCACTGGAAGCACTACTTGCTTGGGAGGCACTTCAAAGTTTACTCAGACCACGAGACATTGAGGTGGCTGACTAAGCGTACTAGGTGGGCCGCAGAGATAGACCAGTATGATTTTGAGCTCAAGCCAGTCAGAGGGAAGTATAATGTAGTTGCGGACGCTCTGAGTAGGAGAGCTGACCACTTTGGAGCGATAGTTCATTATCTGGATATAGGGAGAGACCTGCAGCAGAAAGTAAGAGAAGTGTATGCTCAGGACCCTATCTATGGTGACCTCCTCGAGAGAGTAAAGGAGGCCCCAGAGTCCGAACCAGACTACCGCACTACTGATGGGCTGCTATTCGAGAAGACTAACAGATTTAACCGATTGTGCGTTCCTAACAGGGAAGAGATCCGTAGTTTGATCCTAGGGGAATGCCACGATACTGAGGGACATTTTGGTTGGCAAAAGACCCTAGCTAACCTCATGCGTGTGTACATATGGCCTGGGATGAAGGCGGACTGCATAGAGTATGTTCGCAGTTGTAAGGTCTGCCAGAGAAATAAGACCTCTACGCGTGCCCGTCTAGGTCTTCTCAGGCCCTTGCCTATTCCTGATCAGCCAGGAGATTCAGTATCCATTGACTTTATGGACGCCCATGTCAAGAGTAGGCACGACAAGAGCCAAGTCATGGTAATAGTTGATAGATTCAGTAAATATGTTGTTTTTGTTCCTTTGCCCTCAGAGGCATGTACATAATTAGTTATCCAGCAGTTTTTCGATCATTGGGTCGGTGAACACGTGATTCCACTGTCCATAGTTAGTGATAGAGACACCCAGTTCACTAGTTAGAATTGGCAGGAGTTGATGAGAGTCTACGGCTCCAAGTTGTTGATGTCATCTGGCCGTCATCCAGAGACTAACGGTCAGACGGAACAGATGAACAAGATCCTGCAACAGTTCTGCGTATGTACATTAGTCCGGATCAGATCAATTGGGATGAGATGTTGCCCAAAGTAACCAGTGCGTACAATAACAGCGTGCACTTGTCTACCTGTCGCACTCCCAACGAGTTGCACAAGTCCTTCAGACCACGTAGACCGTTTGAAGGACTTAACTGGGACCAGATTCACAGGCTACCGCCCGGTACTAGGGAGTTTGCGTTACAGCACGAGAAAGAGTTAGCTACCGTGGTAGAGAACCTCAGGAAGGCCCAACACCGGATGATAGAACAAGCTAATAAGCATCGTCGCTCGTCATAGTTTCAACTAGGCGACCTGGTTTGGGTCAAGTCTAAAGAGTTTGCTCCTGAGGAAAACATCTCGCAGAAGTTACTGGCCGCATATAGAGGACCGTGGCCAGTTCTGGAAGTTAAAGGCGGAGAGGATGGCCCGTCCTACACAGTAGAGATCCCGGCATTGAGGATGGCCCGTCCTACTCGCAGAAGTTACTGGCCGCACCTCCACACCTACCCTGTGTTTCATGCCTCAAAGTTGTTGCCGTGTGTCACAAGTCAACAGTTTCCATCTAGAAGATCCATGATTCCTCCAGACATGGACGGAAGATACGACATTGACGACATTGCAGGTGAAGACGTCTTCAGAACAGGAGGTAGAGGTCGTCCGCAGAAGCTGTACAAGGTTCGATTTGCTTATCAGGAACCAGAAGACGACGCTGGTTTACTAGAACCGAACTTCTAGAAACAGCTCCTGACGTAGTTAGCGCCTACGAGAGAGATAAGAAAGGTAAAGGTCCTGCCTTGGACTGAGTTATTCTCGGAGGACCTCGAATTTAGGCCGGCGGGAGTGAAACGGTTGTCACTTGTTAGCAGTAGCGAATGCAGATCCCAGGGCTCGATCCCTAGTTCTCACCTTACCTGTGTACAGTATCTGTGTCGACCCTGAGTGTTTGAACCCGTAACCTGTGTTTTGACAGTTGTTGTCTATCGTAGGTCTGCGTAGCAGTAGGGGTTCGATCTGTAGATCTGTCAAGTAGGAGTCACAGCCCTGTAAAGGTTGTAGCTGTAGGAATCCTGAAAGGTCAAGGTCGTAGCTGCTACAGTCGTGAAAGGTCAAGGTCGTAGCTGCTACAGTACTCGAAAGGCCAAGTCCACAGACTTCCGGAAGGTATTGAAGTGGCCTTTCGAAGCTGCCTCACGTTTCAGTCAGAGGCAAGTGGGCAAGTGGTGAGCCCAGCTGCATTACGTCGACAGTGCGACTGCATTGAGTTGGCAGTGCAAACCCATGCAGTTAGCGGTACCGGTCCAGTCAGTCCCAGTCCAGTCAAGCAAGTACCATGAGGGACTGTGTGCACCATGGGCCGATGGAAAGGGGCAGACCAACGAATCACAGAAGTATAAATCAAGGGGCAGCGTCCAGCCATTCATTCATTCCTGCATAAGCCTTGCGGAAGCGCTGCCACAGCGACTTGTGCGAGGTGGTCTGCAGTGAGCCCGAAGACGAAGTGGGCGAGAAGGAAGCTTAGCCATAGCGATAGAGTAGCAGCGGTCATAGCCGCCGTAGCTGTAGAAGTGTGCGGGTGTGTGTGTGTGTACAGAGTGTGATGCGTGTGGGATATCCAGGGTGATCCTGTGTGCGAACAGCAGTGTTGAGCAAGTGACGAACAGAGAGTTGTACAGGTGATGTTTCGCCATAGCCATTTGAAGTGAACTTGTATCTGAGCTGCGTTCTTGGTTACTATATCTCTGAGTTCTGAGTGGGCGCTTGACTCCAGTTTGCTGGGCAACCTGTTTGCATGCATGTGAAGTGTGAATGAAAGCGAGTCTGATTGCAATGACGTCGGGTCCTAGCTAATATGCTGTACGGATCCTTCTGAAAAGAGCCTGGACACAAGGAGGACGTTTTTATTTTTCTACTTTTTTAATGCGCCGCATCACTTGTGCGTGCGGCACCCCCGCGCATGAGATGCGCCGCAAGTATGATTCAAACACATCTCTCTCTCTCTCTCTCTCTCTCTCACACACACACACACACACACACATACACACACACACACACACGGACCTGTACTAGCAGGTCACACTTATGTTAAGCTGGATGTGCTTTATAGCTTTTCTAACTATACCACATGCTTTTCTGATTTTTCCAACATGCTCGGCCCGGATAAATGCAAGGGCTTCTCCAACTATGATGGATTGAACATGTGCCTGTACATAGATATGTCTCCCACCCAGAATTGAGTTCGTTGTCTGTCTCGTTTGGTGCTGTGATTTCGTTATGTTATCGTTTGAACTAACTATATTGCTTTTGCCTTGTCTATGTGGCTGACCTCTTGGTTGTGTTTCAGAAGTCTTGTGGTGGCGGTCACCGTAAGGGCGCGGTTTCTTTTCCCTTTCCTTCCGCGCAGTGAGTATAGTTAACTCCCCACCCAAGGTGTGCCAGACTCACGTGCGGAGTACTCCTACTCATCTCACCCTTGCAGGAAGTTCTCCTTGACATAAACTGCGAGGCATAGGCCTCGATAAGCCCTACTCGGCCCCTACTTGCAACAGGTCGGCCGCCCTAAGTGAAGGCAGACCCGACAGACGACAAGAGGCCTATTTCTGACTACTTCGCAACTGGGGAAAATTCAGGCAGTTGCGCAGCGCCAGTTGGTTGAAGGCGCACAGGCCCTGGCCTCCTTTATCGACTTTATCTAAGTCAGGCCCTGGGCGAGATACACAGCATAGGCCCAAGTCAGACAGCGTGCAGTTGGGCACGGGTAACTGTCGGTGGCCCTGGGCCTGATTCGTTTGGTCTGAGGCTCAGCCTCTCTGGGCCTACCGGAAGCTTCTGGGCAGGGACCCAGTGCAGCCAGGCTGCACGCAAGCAGGCTGGCCACTTCCATTTAGGAAAGGTCCAGCGTACGCATTCGGCATTGGGGCACTGGCTGCTTTGTGCGCAAGTGCCGCTGCGCTATCGCTTGCCAGGCTCACGCGCTCACAGGCGAGCTGGAAGGAGCAGGCAGCCATAGCCGAGCTGCGCTGCTGTATGCTGGATGGGGCGCATTGTGGTCCTTGGGTGCAAGTGGCATCTGTGAGTTGGGGAACGAGGTTGTGAGTGATACGAGGGACATACCTGGTGCTTGACGCGTGCGGCATTGGCCGAGGTCTGCTCGTACTTGGGAAGCTGTTGACGTCATCAGTCTAGGCTAGATAGGATCTGCCATTTGTAGTCTGGGCGCCGAGCGCCAGATAGGATATCAACATTGGTTCTTCATTGATGACGATGATGAGCTTTTGGTGTGCTCTTATTTGGTGAAACTCGTGATGCAATTCTGCTTTTGGTTCGAGGTCACAACTATCTGGTCTCATGTGTATGATGCTGTTTGATTGCTGAAGTTCGCTATTGCTCATCTTCCTTGCAAAAACCTTGTACACAGAGTTCCAGGTGATGATCGGACACTCGTTCCTAACAGAATATAGCTAGTCCTGCTGTGCCCGGCGTCTAGGGCGGTTGCCCAGAGAACACTCACAGGTGGAGGCATTCTGTGTACTAGCCGAGTCATCGCTTAGGAGACTTTGTGGCGAGTGCCTCCTGCAAGGGACGTCGGCAGCCTCCCCGTGCTGAGCTGATGGGCCTAAAACCCTGGACCGAGGCTTTACCCTTATGCTACAGTTCCTCTTCTACTTCTTGAAGAGAATTTCCTGATTTTGAAAAATACCATACCTATGATATCGACGATACAAGGTGCGAATCAGGAAAGGGACTTGAACGGGGATTCCCGTGCTAGTGGCGCAGCACGAATCACACGCCCTACTCATGATCCTCTCTATGGTAACCCCCCTTGCTCTTCCTCTCATAAAAGGGGAGCTGCAAGAATAATGAAAGGGGTACCCCAAGGACAACCAAAAAACTGTCTAATTTTAAAATTGCTTTAATATGTTGGACCTCTCAAATGGTCTCGTTGTCTGCAATAGGGCAAAGACTGCTTTGAATCTGAATCTATTCACCTGGGTGGAATTGGGGCTGTTGTGGGGAAAACCTAAAACACACACACGCACACAAAGGGGGTCTGAAAGGGGGTCCGAAATCCCCCGACAGGTGAGTGCGCTGGGGGGGCCTGGCCCCCAACCAGGGGCCCTGCCTGGCCAGGCCGACCGGGACCTTCCCCGGGCCCCTGCCGGTCACCCGGGTGGCTCGGATCCCCACTCAGATAATAACAGTGAGTGGTTGAACCAGAATCAATATCCGAAGTTCCCTCTTACTGGCAGTACAACAATAGGTTGATCATAGCCATGGCTTCCCCCTTCACCTTCTTCTCACATGCCAAGGATATGGTGGGCTACTAAGGGCCCTGTCCTCCTGTGCAAAAGACAACTCAAAGCAGCTATGGTCGCTGTTTGTCAGGCCTTCATGCCTGAATCTGTCCCGGAGCTTCCTTGATGCGGCACTACCCCAACTGGGGCCTTCCAGATGCAGCGCCTAACAAGGTGATGAAGATGGTGTCCACCATAGCGAGGTAGGTACCTCGCCAATCTCGTCCTTCGCCCCTTCCTCTTCCTCCTCAGGCTGGGCTGCTCGCCATAGACAGGCGGAGCACCCAGGTCCTCTTTGTTCCCCCAGGGAGCTTTCTGAGTCCTGGAGATATAGCGGCCTACTTGTGTCGTGGGACTTCCAGGCCGTGCGGCCTCCAAGCAACCGGTACCTCCTCCGTTTTGGAGGGAAACATGATTAGCAGGCTGTGATATCGTCTGTACAGGCCGTAGACTCGGGCTACTTGGACAGGTACCCACGTACCTTTAGCCTATAGCTACTGGGCCTCAATTAAATGCCAAGTTTTTGTCTTCGGCTGCTTGGCCTAGAGTACTCGATATATCTACTACCTCTTGAGCTACTTGTGTGTTTTTCCCTGCTGTTCTAAGTGTTGCGGGCCTACCCCCGCTACTTGATTGTTTTTCCCCGCTGCGACCCTCAAAGTCACGGCGCACAGACCAGCAGGCACGCCCACCCACAGACTCAGAAAACTCGGCAGAATGCGGGAATCTCAGCAAGTCGTACATTCCAGATGCAAAACCCAGAAATCAGCAGTGTTCTCAGTCTGTGTTTTGGCGGGTCATTACATTTGTTTAGTCAACGAACTTTTGGCGAAACTTAAAAGTCTACTTTTGAAGTGAGAAGCTAATCTGTTAATGTGCCTGATGCCTGATAGGTCAGAATTCGTGTCTTAGATGTTCATTCATGTTATTGCCGTATTGCAGTTCTTCGAAGCAGGTCAGAATGACACTAAAATGCTCTTCTGATTCAGGTCAACCTGTCGCTGATTGTCTCTGCATGTTAAGGCATGCTGCCTTATGGGGTGTTCTTTTGTGTCTTGTGTCGTGATTGGCACCGATCAACTAGGTGAGTACTGTTGGTAAGGTGTGCTGGCAAAGCATGGCCAGCCACATTAACCACCACCCCATATGCGACTGTGATGGTTATATCACAGGGCCTCTATTTTTCAGTTGGTCTATTGGATGGGCAATCCCTCAACAGCCACAGTTTTTCCTTCAGTTGCAGGAACCGGGTGACACCCAGAGGTTGGTCAAGATAACGAAGTGGTGTTTAAACCACCACCAATGAGAGTATGGACTTAATATGGTGGCAATGCAAACATGATTTAGAACCACTGGGACTGAAATGTTGTGGCTTGTTCTGCCAATGCTGCATGCTTGTGGGTTGTGCACGGCTGAAAAATGAACTCAGGCAGATCATACACATTATGGCATTCAACGTCCATCTGTTTCTTGAGACCGCTGAAGATCTGCACGACTGGGAGAAGTGGTTGTTCTGGATGTGCAGAAGTTTACTGTTCCTGGTGGTGTACCTGCTTATCCTTGTGCTCCCATACACCAGATGGCAAGAGAGACTTCCTGGTGAGTGTTGCTGGCACATGGTTTCTTAGGGTGTAGTCAAACAAAAGACTTTCTGTATGCATTTGGGTGTAATTATGTGCATACTCATCAGTGGTAGTGCTTTCTTACCTTTTGTGGAGTCAAAATACATGGCTGCTGCAGGATGCAAGAATAGTGGATTGTCAAGTCAACATTTCCCTCATGTCTTGTGTGCAGGTGCTTCTCTTTGTCTTACAGGATGGTGAAGAAGACATCATGGCAACTGTGTGGGTTTCTTAACTCCGTTGCTAAACCACCAGTATGTTCGAGCCTTTCTCCTACGAGGCTCACTGTGCTGCGTGCCAAAGAAAAACGAACTGGTGCGAGCACAGTTTTGGTTGGCGATGCCAGCCCACTTTGGACCGGTGCTCAGTGTTTACTTTCAGGGTTATGTTCTCTTGAGTGTTACCTTTTGCCTGGGGTGCAAAATGCTTATCGAAACACTCTAAACATTGATATGTCAAGACTAGGCAGTCAATAAGGGATCGTAAAATGCCTCCCATCAGCATAATGGTCAATTGTGTTATTAAGCTGCTAAACCAAGTCAAGGGTGGTCCTTTGGGGAGTTTGATCAAACTTACTGGAACGATAGACAGAAAATGCCCAGTGCAAGGATGCAATTGTAAATCATGAGCGCCTCAGTCGTGTCAGATAGGGAAAAAGAGAAAAAAAAGAACATTTAGGGTGTCAATTTGTGAAACACACATGAAGCGAAATGGGTGTGTGGAGTGGTTTGTGGTGCTGTATTTGTAAACATCTCAAACTCCCCAAGGCTTCTGGCTGTAGACAAGCAATCTGTGGAAGCCTTCGAGAAGTGGTTGGCCGTTGTGGTGGGTACAAATAGACCTACGGTTAGAAACGTTGGCTTGGCAAAGAAATAGGCTCAGATTTAGTGGCGGCCTCAAAACCACCAGTATGGACAGGCTGATTTTTCAGCTGAAGGAAAAAATGCGGTTGAATATGAAGTGAAACAGCCACAGGTATGCCGGTACATGGAAACCAGAGCCTCCTTGTGCATGACTGCCAGTTCCGAAGGAAGCTACTGGCGCGGCTGGTTTAAACCACTGGTGAAAAATAGAGCCTTGATGTTTCCACTTGAATGAATTTGGACAGGAGCCACCAGACCCGTTCGGCCCAGCGCCTCACGGCTCGTATATGACTGCAACTTTCGGAAGTACTGGTGGTTTAAACCCAGAAAAACGAGCAGGTTGCCAATTAGGTCAGATGACACGAGGCCCTGGATTGCTGTTGTAGGCCTGTCATGGCCCTAGGTGAACCTGCAGGTAAAAACATTGGTTTGGCGAAACAGGCTCAGAAGTGCCCGCAGTTTAAACCAGCAAACACCCTCAACCTGGCCGAATATATCGGGCAGATGACAAAAGGCCCACCTGGATCACCATCGTGAGGTAATTATTGTGGTGTATTGTGAAACGGTATTCACCTGTTAGCAGTAGCGAATGCAGATCCCAGGGTTCGATCCCTAGTCCTTACCTTGCCCGTGTACAGTATCTGTGTCGACCCCAGGAGTTGAACCCACGACCTGTGTCTGTTCCCACAGTTGGTAGACTGTCATAGAGTCTGTAGATTGTAGGGTTCGATCTGTAGACCTGTCGAATAGTGGTCTTAGGGAGTTGTAGAAGTCGTAGCTGTAGGACCTCTGAAAGGTCAAGGTCGTAGCTGCTACAGTATCCGAAAGGCCAGGACTGAAACTTCCGGAAGGTCCTGGTACTGGCCTTTCGAAGCTGCTCACGTTTAGGCTGAGGCAAGTGGGCAAGTGGTGGAGTCCACCCGTGCTGAGTCAGCAGTCCCAGTCCCAGTCAGTCCTAGTCTAGTCAAGCAAGTACCGTATGGGACTGTGTGCACCACGGGCATGGGAAAGGGGCAGACCAACGAGATACAGAAGCATAAATCAAGAGGCAGCGCCCAGCCATTCATTCATTCCTGCGTAAGCCATGCGGAAGCGCTGCCACAGCGACTTGTGCGAGGTGGTCTGCAGTGAGCC